GGCTAACTGTGACCATGTGTTTCATGGAGATTTGAGTTAAAGGAAAAAAATCTCCTGGATGGTGTCAGACCTTTCAGGTGCTCCGTGTTTCTGTGAAAACGTCTCTGTGGTTTAAATTTAGCTTCCTGCATAAAGTTATATAACATTCTATAAATAGAGGAACTCCTCCTGAGTTTCACGCAGACAGAAGTTTAAGATTCATATTTAATCTGAAGTTAATGTGAAAATTATAATTTCTTCTTCTTTTCACCGCTTTTGCAGCAAACTACGACACCAAGCACAGAGTGAGCGATTTGGATACAGAGAGGTAAGACAAGGATTCTTATAATTCAACATATATTTTCAAAAAAAGGGTCTTTTAATACATTTTTGTTAATCCTTCAGGTGGTTTTAAAAGGCGATCCCAAAAAACTGAGTCTTCATGGGGTAAGTTTGCTGATTTGTGTCAGTCAGTTAAAGCTTTTAGCTGATTGCTGGAGACGGGTCCTGCCTGACTGCGTGTCGTCTGTCGCCCTCGTAGCAGACGTGCGCCGTGTGTCTGGAGGACTTCAAAGTGAAAGACGAGCTGGGGGTGTTGCCATGCCAACACGCTTTCCACAGGAAGTGAGTAGAGCACGGCCGAGCCTGTCGTCACGCTTGTTCGCGCCTCACACCTGCTGAGGCTCGTTGAAAAGCAAAAACAGCCATGTTTGGTCCCCAGGAGATCAAAAGAGTTGACGGACTTCAACCTTCATTCATCATTCATGTCATGTTTTCCTGCTGGTATTAGAGTGAACGGTCCAGGGGGCAGAACTGGTCCCGAGACCCTGAAAATTTAATAAATTTGCCTGTTACTTCCCTATATGTGAAGTTAGTTTAGAATATTATAAGTAGTCAGTATCTTACCTGCAGTAGACAGCAGACATCAGATCGAAGGTAACAGCCAATCAGTCTGGACTCAATTCTGAAGCAGATTTCTACAACTCAAACCTCAAAAAAAGCTTTTATAACCGAATACTATGTATGTTGTGGACTTTTACAACACTTTACTTTTCATTACATAGTTGTGTAATTTTTTTGTATTTGTTTGTTGAGAGATTATCACATCTTACATGACAATGGTGTTCTCCATTTTAGCTTTTCTTAAAAAAAGAAGAAACTGCAACCTTTAGAAAAATATACACACATAAGAACAGAAATCATGTGTGTGTGTGTGTGTGTGTGTGTGTGTGTGTGTGTGTGTGTGTGTGTGTGTGTGTGTGTGTG